ATCCCAGGTTCAATTCCTGGGCGGGAAAGAAATAGTCGAGCACATTTCCTTTCACATAATGCTATTGTTCACCTAGCAGTGAATAGGTACCCAGAAGTTAAGCAACACACATACATACATACATACATACATGGGTGGGGGGTGGCTGAGTGGACAGCGCTCTAGACTCGTGGACCTAGGGACCGGGGTTAGATTCCCCGGCAGCACTGGAAAAACAAATGGGCAGAGTTTTCTTCACCCTGATGCCCTTGTTACCTAGCAGTAAATAGGTACCTGAGAGTTATAGCTGCTATGGGCTGCTTCCTGGAGTGTGTGTGTGTGTGTGTGTGTGTGTGTGTGTAATTACCTAAGTGTAGTTACAGGATGAGAGCTACGCTCGTGGTGTCCCGTCTTCCCAGCACTCTTTGTCATATAACGCTTTGAAACTACTGACGGTCTTGGCCTCCACCACCTTCTCACTTAACTTGTTCCAACCGTCTACCACTCTATTTGCGAAGGTGAATTTTCTTATATTTCTTCGGCATCTGTGTTTAGCTAGTTTAAATCTATGGCCTCTTGTTCTTGAAGTTCCAGGTCTCAGGAAGTCTTCCCTGTCGATTTTATCAATTCCTGTTACTATTTTGTACGTAGTGATCATATCACCTCTTTTTCTTCTGTCTTCTAGTTTTGGCATATTTAATGCTTCTAACCTCTCCTCGTAGCTCTTGCCCTTCAGTTCTGGGAGCCACTTAGTAGCATGTCTTTGCACCTTTTCCAGTTTGTTGATGTGCTTCTTAAGATATGGGCACCACACAACAGCTGCATATTCTAGCTTTGGCCTAACAAAAGTCATGAACAACTTCTTTAGTATATCGCCATCCATGTATTTAAATGCAATTCTGAAATTAGAAAGCATTGCATAGGCTCCTTGCACAATATTCTTAATGTGGTCCTCAGGTGATAGTTTTCTATCTAGAACCACCCCTAGATCTCTTTCTTTATCAGAATTCTTTAAAGATTTCTCACATAATATATAGGTTGTGTGGGGTCTATGTTCTCCTATTCCACATTCCATAACATGACATTTATTAACATTAAATTCCATTTGCCAAGTGGTGCTCCATATACTTATTTTGTCCAGGTCTTCTTGAAGGGCATGACAATCATCTAAATTTCTTATCCTTCCTATTATCTTAGCATCATCAGCAAACATGTTCATATAATTCTGTATACCAACTGGTAGATCATTTATGTACACAATAAACATCACTGGTGCAAGAACTGAACCCTGTGGTACTCCACTTGTGACATTTCTCCATTCCGATACATTGCCTCTGATTACTGCCCTCATTTTTCTATCAGTCAGAAAATTTTTCATCCATGATAGAAGCTTACCTGTCACCCCTCCAATATTTTCCAGTTTCCAGAACAACCTCTTATGTGGAACTCTGTCGAAAGCCTTTTTTAGGTCCAGATAGATGCAGTCAACCCAGCCATCTCTTTCCTGTAATATCTCTGTGGCCCGATCATAGAAACTGAGTAAATTCGATACACAGGATCTTCCTGATCGAAAACCATACTGTCTGTCTGATATTATATCATTTCTCTCCAGGTGTTCTACCCATTTAGTTTTGATTAGCTTTTCCAATACTTTCACTATTACACTTGTCAATGATACAGGTCTATAATTGAGGGGGTCTTCCCTGCTGCCACTTTTGTAGATTGGAACTATGTTAGCCTGTTTCCACACGTCTGCTACGATTCCTGTACACAGGGATGCCTGAAAGATCAGGTGAAGTGGAATGCTGAGCTCAGATGCACATTCTCTCAGAACCCATGGTGAAACGCCATCTGGGCCAGCTGCTTTGTTCCTCCCGAGCTCCTTTAGCATATTTTCCACTTCATCTCTAGACACCTCTATCCGCTCTATGTTGTTCTCTGGAATTCTTATTGTGTCTGGTTCTCTGAAGATTTCATTTTGTACAAACACACTTTGGAACTTTTCATTTAATGTTTCACACATTTCCTTTTCATTTTCCGTGAATCTGTTTCCCATTTCCAACCTCTGGATATTATCCTTTACCTGCAATTTGTTGTTTATGAATTTGTAGAATAGGCCCGGTTCTGTTTTACATTTATCTGCTATCCCTTTTTCAAAATTTCTTTCTGCCTCTCTCCTTACTGCTGTATAATTGTTTCTCGCATCTTTGTATCGCTGGTATGTTTGGGGGTTTGGCCTCTTCCTATACTGATTCCATTTTTGTGTCTTTTGGTCTCTTGCCCTCTCACAATTTCTGTCGAACCAATCCTGTTTTCTGGTCCTGCATCTCTGTTTTGGTATGAATGTTTGTGTGCCTTCCTCGTATAGTTTTAAAAATTTGGCATACATTTCATTTACTTCCCTGCCTAGCAACAATTCTGTCCAATTACACTCATTAAAAAAATTTCGAAGTTCCCCATAGTTGCCTCTCTTTAAATCGAGTTTATCAACTGTTTCAAACACACAACTGTGTGTGTGTGTGTGTGTGTGTGTGTGTGTGTGTGTGTGTGTGTGTGTGTGTGTGTGTGTGTGTGTGTGTGTGTGTGTGAAAAAAAAAACAAATTAGTGGTTAGTAACAGTTGATTGATTGACAGTTGAGAGGCGGGCTGAAAGAGCAGAGCTCAACCCCCGCAAGCACAATTAGGTGAGTACAACTAGGTGAATACATATATACATACACAGGCTGCCTGTCCTCAACAAAATGATTTATTACTACATTGCAAACTTTAGTATTCTTCAATTTTTGTGTAATGCACACTAGCATATAATGTTCAATGATGTATAATGCACATGTGTATAATGCAATGATGTATAATGCAGATTGGTATATAATGCACTCTGGTGTATTATGAATTCTGGTGTGTATAATGCACTCTGGTGTATAGTGCACTTTAGTGTGTAATTCACACTGGCTTTATGCATTGGTGACGAATAGTCTCTGTGGCACAGTGGTAAAACACTCGCCCGGCGCTTCACGAGCGCTTTGGCCTGGGTTCGTATCCTGGCCGGGGAGGATTGACTGGGTGCCAATCCTTAACTGTAGCCTCTATTCACCCAGCAATTAATGGGTGCCTGATTGTTAAATGATTTGGCGGGTCGTATTCCTTGGAAAAATTAGGATTCAGGACTTGCCCGAAACACTATGCATGCTAGTGGCTTTACAAGAATGAAAGAACTCCTGTATATATAAATAATATTACAAAAAAACATTGAACCTGGTGTATAATGCATTTTTTATTTTTATCTTTTAAAAGTCAGGTTAAAAGCTTACATAGTATTACACTATGTATATAATTTGCATAAAATATAAAAAAAGGTGATGTTCCCAGATACTGTTGCTATCGTATGTAGAGTTTAAACACTTTTAGTTAAGTTCCAGGCTAATTTAGCTATTCTTCATCCTTGATGTTCAAGGTGAGGCTAATGTTCATGGAGAACATACCTGTTGCTACTGAACTTTCTCCTGGGGGGGGTATGCCCTGGTAATGGGTCTTTTTATGCGCAGGTTTTTTCACATGTGGAATCTTCTAGTGGGTGCACTATGGTATCATCCCCAAACTTGAGTGTGATTCTGCTGTATGCTGGTTTCCTGATGTGGCACTGTGTTTTATGATCCAGTACTTTTCTTGTTGGGTATAGGGGTCTTCTACAGCCTCGTGTGTATGATTAATATTGAATTTGGACGTTGATCAAGTTAGAGCCCTCTTCTATTACTGCTTATTGTATGGTGGTTTCTTTATGAGCTTGTTCAGTTAAATTGAGGGGCTTGTGATCTGTCCTGCCCGAAAAGCTTTGCGTAATAGTGGGTTTAGGCATTGTATGTACTAGCTCTATCTGTAAATCTATCAATTATTGTATACCTCTTGTATGTATGCACTTTACCTGAATAAACATTTGAATTTTGAATTTGAATCTTTGGCAAGGATTTTTATGCTGCCTTCTCTGTTTGAGTAGTAATTTTCAGCGCTCAGTTCTTAATATTTTGTAAGTCTTCTCTTGAGGCTCACAAAGTTCCCCAGTAAACTTATGCAAAACTATTTGCAAAGTTACTTCTCATTGTGATCATAGTCAACAAGATCCTGCCATGTGCACAGTGTCCTGGATGTATAATGGTAATGTCTAGGGAAGCAACCAACAGTGATCTTGCTCATAAAATAGTTTGTTTTATCCATAGGCAAAATTTAGGGGCAGATTTATTTAAAAAAAATATTGTGCATTATACACCAAGAGAAATAAGCCATTTCTTTTGTGCAATCATATCTTCATTGGGAGGCAACTCGCACTTATGGAAATTAAGTATAGTTTGAGGCTTGAGTAAGACACTGATCATATTTACATATGTCCTAGCAAATGAGCTTTATTAGAGTGTGGGGATCAAACTTGAGCTGCATCAGCTATGAGTGCAGATTTATCTTTATTGTGGTGCTTTTCTGTCGTATACAAATTTTACTTTTAACTTCCCGATATTTTGCATTTCTTATGATAAATATAGGGCCAAGCAAGTCAACTCATAATTTTATTTTACTGACATGAATTGAAATTCAGTTAACCAAATATGTTTTGCACATTAGTACAAAGAGAGAAGAAAAGCTGTGCACTCCTAACTGAAAAAGCAGTTATAATTGGCTTTTGAGAATGGCTTTTGTACAAATAATTTTTATACCATAGCAATCTTAGTCCTTGGTAACCTTATATCTGTTCTATCACTTCTGTATTTTGATTATGCTTATTCAGATTTTAAAATATAAATAATATTATTGTGCTTTCTTAAAAAAAAAAAAAAAGGTAAAAAGCTCTAAGATTGCATAAAAACCCAAGTTATGTAAAAACATAAGCTACGCAGTCATTAACTCATGTGTGATGTAGTGCTGAACTTGGCTCACTTTTGAATGTTTATTTAATGTGATGGTTAATATGGTAGTTAATTATTTAAATTGCAAGCAGAGAGACTAACGTGGTTATGCTTGGGATTCTGTTGCAGTGCTGACTGGGCTCACATCATCTTTAAGTGGTAAGTGCATGCCTTAATTCATGGTTTGTCAGTGATATAAGGAGATTTTATTAGCCTAGAAGTAGTCTTGCTTTGATTGTCAACTGTTGCAGGTTACATTTGCTATTAGTTAATATATCAAAGATAATCAAAACAATGTACACTACTAGGTGCCCATGCTGTGGTATACCTGAATCTTTGCTTTATATATTTTTCATCTGTGTAATGCTTCTTGGTGATTAACTTGAATTTGCTTCACTAGAATTACTTCAAACATAAACTTGGTTTTAGCATGATGTAGTGTGTCGTTTTTTTTGGGTATTCCTTTGTAGCAGCATTAGAAACATTTTTTTTCTGGGGGGAAGCCCCATCGATGTCCCGGAGCTAACCAGGCTGACATGGATATTATTAGCTTTCTGGCATCAGTCAAAGTGCATAGAATTCGGCCTGCCGGGGACCACAAGCCAGAACCTGGCCCCCCTCAGATAAGGCACGAGGCGCAGTGGCCTATAGAAACCCTCGTTTGGTTGGGAGCATTCCATTTCTGTCATCAACGTGGTCTGGAACCCAGAAAGGTAGGTGCCTGAAAACAAACCCCCTATTCTGGTGAAAATATTGCTACCGAAAGCCGAATGAGTGGACAGAGCTCCCCAAACGAAAAGTAGCAAACGAGCATGACATCATCACGTTGCCACACCGCTGTCTGCACAAACACCCTCACTTCCCGGGAGGGGGAAGAGGGAGCCGCAGACCCTCGTGCCTGCGATCCAACCAACAGTTCTTGGCTGAAGTGATACTGGCAGGTCATGTGCCTCTGGCTCTTGAATTGGTCTCAGTTTCAGCAGATCGGTCCAGCCCGGTACGAGGCTGGTTTGTTCTTCTCCTCGAGTCTTCATGTCTGGAGTTTCTGACTCAGGTTTATTATCACTTGTATGGGTCGCAGGTGGCTTCACTGTTGGTCTCCTACCTGCGTGCTTCGTCATGACGGCAGTATGAAGTTTCGTGGCAGTCCTCCCAGTTTTTCCTATCACTGCATAGGTGTACTTCTGCCTCTGATAAGGTTGTTTTGTCCTTCATTTCATGGTTGCTTCTGGACCGTCATCTTATGCCGAATTCTGTTGCCTTTATCGTGTGGTGCTAGGGGAGCTGCTCCAGCTTGCGTTCGGTATTGATGTTACATCTGCTCCATTCGGCAAGCTGTCTCATGCGTTGTCTCACCTCTGGCCTGCTCATGCGCTGCCTGAGCCGCCCTGGTCTTTGAACCGGGTGCTCTCTTTTCTCTCTTCTCCTTGGTTTGTTGTGGCCCCTTCGGTTCAGGATTGTTTTTCTGAGGCTCTTTTCCTGTTGGCATTGGTCTCTGGGGGTCAGGTCAGGGAGCTTCATGCTCTCCTCCAGCGCAGGGGTTTCTGCTCTTTTGGTCTTGGTGGTAGGTTTGTTCGGTTGCAGCCACCTCCTTCTTTTCTGGCAAAGAATGAGACTGCAGCTTTTCGAAGTGGTCCTTTGGGTGTTGATGCTTGATTGGTCAGGCTAGGGGTGCATCATGTGTTATGTCCAGTTGCGGCCCTCTGCCATTATTTGCGCGTCACAGCTTCGGTGGTTGGGGATGCGCTTTGGGTTGACCCGGTTTCCCTCCTTTCCTGTTCCCGAGCTAGGGTCTCCCAGGTTGTCTGCAGGGTTATTAATTCTAGCCAGCCTGCGGTCTGTCCTCATGCCCATGACGTTCATAAGTTTGCTGCTTTGGCTGCCGTCTTTGGCAACATGTTTTGGGTTGACATTCGGGCACGGGGTTTTTGGAGGTCGAACAGCGTCCTGGACACTCGCTACCTTGTCAATGTCCCTGAATCTGGTAGAGCCTGTGTTGCATTGGGTTGGCAGTTGCAGCCATTTGTCTCGACTTCACGCTGAGGAGTGAGGGCTGAATGCCACCCAGGTAAGTCTCTGTTTTTCCTTGTCTTTGGGTAGATAGCTCCGGGGAGCCAATGGGGCACCCCAGAAAACCAGTGTTGAATATAATGAAACATTATTTTCTGGGTGAGTCCTGGAGGCTCCCCGGCATCCCTCCCTCCTAGTTGGCGGTGTTTTTTGCCTGTTTTGGACATCCTGCCTAAGAACTGTCAGTTGGATCGCTGGTGTCAGGGTCTGGGGCTCCTCCTTTTCCCTTCCGAGGAGGGGGGGGTTGCGCAGACAGCGGCGTGGCAATGTGATGACGTCATGCTCATTTGCTACTTTTCATTTGGGAGTTTTGTCCATTCGTTTGGGTTTCAGTAGCAACATTTTCACCAGAGTAGGGATTTGTTTTGGGGCGCCTACCTTTCTGAGTGCCAGACTCAGTCAATGGCAGACATAGAATGCTCCCAACCACACTGGGGTTTCTATAAGCCATTGCTCCTCGTGCCTCATCTGAGGGGGCAAGGTTCTGGCTCATGGTTCCCGGTAGGCCGAACTCCATGCACTTTGACTGATGCCAGAAAACTAATAATATCCATGTCAACCTGGATAGCTCTGGGAAGCCTCCAGGACTCGCCCAGAGAATGGCGTTTCATTACATTCAACGCTTTTTTTTTTTTTTTAAATTTTGTTTTATCTAGGTAAATGGAAGGCGAGTCTTCCATCAGAGCAGTTTGGCATGTGAGCATGCTCACACACATACACTTACTAGGGAAAATAAAAGATTCAGATGACTTCCATAACCTTTAAGAAGACCTAGACAAAATAAGTGAATAAAACCATATGTGGATATAATTCAGTGCAAATAAATGTATCATTATTTAGTGTAGAATAGGGAAAAATAGGCCACACATAACATACAAATTATGTGAAAAGAAATTAAAATACTCAGAGATCTAGGGTTGGTTCTGCATAATAAAGAGTCTGCAGAAGACCACATCAAAGGCATTATGAGTCTTTAAGTATTACATATACTTGCAAATTTCAAAATCACTTAGTAACTCCCATTCCATGTACAGTATTTATAAGAAATTATTCACAAAACTTGTAAGAGCAAAAATGGAATAAGTGTATGGTGTTAATATCTAAAAAAAAAAAACAGCATTGAATGTAATGAAACTCTGAGGAACTGCAAGCTCTGCTCCAAGGGTACAAAAACCCAAGCAGGGCAAAATGGGGCCTAGGTACCCCGCCTCCCCAACCCCGGAAACCTTCACGGCAGGACTTGGGGCCGAGCTGTCCCCCAAAGCCCCAGCCGCACAAGTAAAGTAAGGCAGCCGTAAAACACTAAAGAAGGGAACTCCACTGGTCAGACCCATATGGCACAGCTGGAGGAACAGGCTTGAATGCCTCTGCCGCCACGCCGGAAGAGGAAAACTCCTAAGACCGCTCGAGTCTCAACCCAACTAGTCCCTGCCCCAACCCCGAAACCCGCCAATGGTTCGGAGCCGGAAGCAAGGGGAAAGGAAGTATGCACAACAGAAGGGAAAGGATTAGGAGGAGCGGACGGAACCAGAGCCGAAGCGACTCCCACCCCAAAGTCTGGACCCCTATAACCAAAACAGGGCAGCCTCGGGGTATCCGGGGCCGCAACCAACCAAGTGCGCTGCAGCAAACGAACTGAGCGTGTAACGCCGCAACTGCCTGCAGCCACATATATTAAGGAGCACAGGTGAACTGGAGCACGTACAGGCAACAACGTCGCACGACTCCAGGTCAAAAGAATATCGACCCAACAGGCAACAGACAGAGGTACAACTAGTGAATGTCGTCCCGAGACAAGGGGACAGAGCATCCTTCAAACTCGCTTTCTTGTAAGAAGCGAGAAGGGGACTTAAGCGGTCACATTCACCGAACCACGGAGCCCCCCCCCAGGGTTTCCCAGGGCCCTTAGCCATTTTAACATGCTTAGGAAAGCCCAGGCAGGGTACTGGCACCCAAGTCTACCAAACGAACTTCTAAAAGCTGAACCCCCAGGATGTGTCCACTCACAGGGGTCTAGCGGGGGAGACCACCAACACACAAGAAAACACACACTGACCCCAACAACTGAGGGGGAAGGATAAGGCAGACCCCCACCATGCAGAAACAAACAAAAACGAAAGAAAAACCCCACAAGAGGACAACGTACCCAGGCTGAACAGAGCCAGCTGCTTTAATAGGTGATAACTAGCTGTGCAGTACCCCCGCGCCCCTATCAGTGACGAAAACTACTTCAAACCCAGAGACAAACAAGGGCAACAAAATCCGAGCTGATCCCAAGGACGGCCAAATACCGAGCAGTAAAAGACACAACGGAGGTAGATCCCAAGGCGACTTGTGGAAGGAGGCCCCAAGCCCCAAGGGTGCCCACTTACAGGGCACCTAGGGAAGCGAACTCTAGGCGCATGCAGCCCGAGTACTGTGGAATATGTCTCCTGGCTCACACACCACCTGTAGAGACAGCCCACGAAACAAGGCACAGAACTGAAACAAAACTAAAGCCAGTGGCACCCGACCGGCCTGTAATCACATCAGCCAAGAACTGCCCGACTGGGGCTTTCCCTTCCCTCTCCCAGGGAGGGGTGGGGTTGTGCAGACGAAGGCGCGGCGACATGATGACGTCATGCTAGTTTGCTAATTTTGTTTTGGGAGTTCTGTCCACTCGTTCGGCTTTCGGTAGCAATATTTTCATCAGAATAGGGGTTTGTTTAGGGGTGCCTACCTTTCTGGATGCCTGTCCCGGTCGATGGCAGACATAGAATACTCCCAACCACAGAGGGGGGTTTCTATAGGCCATTGCTCCTCGTGCCTCTCTAAGGGGCCAGGTTCTGGCTCGTGGTCCCCGGTAGGCAAGAACTCCAAGCACCTTGACTGATGCCAGAAAGTTATACATATCTATTCAGCCTGGATAGCTCAGGGGAGCCGACGGAGCTCCCTCCAGAAAAGCAGTGTTGAATGTAATGAAATGCTTCTTTGTGGTGGGTGTTTTGTGGCTCTTTGGTACTTGCTACCAGACAAGCTCCATCCAATTCAATCCATGACAGGCCCTTGTTAGTCATATAAGCCTATTGGGAATGAAGGCGACTCAATCA